GGACATTGTTTCGTTCTGTTGGGTTGCTATGAGTCGGTTCCAACTCGATGGCACCTGACAACAACACAACAACAATTAGAGCACACTCTCTTCAAAGGGCATGAAACATAATAAATGATAAAAATCCCTACCTTTGTGGTTATTAACAATCTAGAAGTATACAAACAAGCACAAACAAAATTTCAGATAGGAATAAATTACAGATCATATGATAGAGACTGATCTCTTTGGGTAATTGAGGTCAGCCTCTAGCAAGGTGACATTGGGCTCTTAGACCTGAATGTGCCCCACCTTTCTACTAGTAGAGCCTAGATCTTCATTATGAATGTTCCTCAAATCTATTTAAATTCTTCCTATTTCAAACTATTTCAAATCTTTTATGTAAATGGTTTTTCTCTAGTGTAATCTTTTGATCCACAATTATTTCAGCTGTCTTTTTCTCCTAAAAGTGTGAACTAGTCTAGACTAAGGACTGCACTTCCTTTCCCTTTGTAGTTCTCATAGAGCATAATAGCACCAAGTCAGTGGGTTCCTATTACATAATTTTCATCACATATAATCCTAACCATTGAAGACCTTAGAAGAATTTGTGCTTTTGGGTTATGGTGTTGGAGGAGAATATTGAAAGTACCGTGGGCTGCCAAAAGAGCAAACAGATCTGTGTTGGAAGAAGTGCAGCCAGAGTGCTCCTTGGAGGACAGGATAGTCAAACTTCGTTTTTCATACTTTGGACATATTGTCAGGAGGGACCAGTCACTGGAGACAGATATCGTGTTTGGTAGGGTGGAGTGTCATAGAAAAAAAGTAAGACCCCCAGCGAGATGGGTTGGCCAAGTGGCAGCGTCGATGGATTCAAGCATGGCAACAATTGTGAGATTGGCCCAGGATCGGGCAGTGTTTCGTTCTGTTGTACATAGGGTTGCTATGAGTCAGTACTGACTCTATGGCATCTAACAACAACAACAATATTGTCCTAATGATATCTTATATGTTGTTAAGTACCATGGAGTCGGTTCCAACTCATAGTGACCCTGCACAGGGTTTCTGAGGCTGTAAATATTTACGGGAGCAGAACGCCTCATCTTTCTCCCGTGGAACCACTGGTAGTTTCAAACTGCTGACCTTGCGGTTGGCAGCCCGACTCGTAACCACTACGCTACCAGAGCTCCGTGATATCTTATATAAGGGGGCTTCAAAAAGTTTATGGAAAAATAAAATTAAAAGATAATGAAGTTTTTCCATGAACCTTTTGAAGGTCGCTCGTGTATTGTGACCCCTTACAATGATAATTCAGGAGTCTTGTTGTAGTGCTATGGGTTAATGCGCCAGACTTCAGAGCCATTTGAACTGCAAGGTTGGTGGTTCAAGCTCACCATCTGCTCCCCAGAAACCCTATATAAGATCGCTATGAGTCAAAACTGACTCAATGGCATTTAACAACAACAACCCTGATAATTCAAAGTGCTCTGGTAGTGTAGTAGTTACAAATTGGGCTGCTAACCTCATGGTCAGCAGTTCGAAAAGAGAAGGATGAGGCTTTCTATTCCCTTAAAGATTTACAGCCTCAGAAATTCTATTCAGGGTCACTATGAGTTGGAACCAACTCCATAGCACATAACCACTCTCACTACCAGCACCAGCACCCTGGTATAGTAATTCAGGAGGAATGGTATAGTTTTCATGATCAAAAGAACATTTCAAGATCTATCTTGAAGTACAATGCTGTCTGTCTGTACTAGGCTAATATCCATATGCCTACAAGGAAGACCAGTTAATACCACTTTATTCAACTGTACAAACCAATCACTGAAGGCAATGGTAATGAAATTGAGGAATTTTACCAATATCTTCGGTCTGAAATTGATCTAACATGCAATCAAGATATATTGATAATTACTGGTGATTGGAATGCAAAGATTGGAAACTGTAATTGGAAAATATGGGCTTGGTGATAGAAATGATACTGGAGATCACATGATAGAATTTTGCAAGACCAATGACTTACTCATTGCAAATACCTTTTTTAAACAACATAAAACATAAGTATACACATGAACCTCACCAGGTGAAATACATAGAAATAAAATTGACTGCATCTGTGGGATGAGACAATGAAAAAACTTAACCTCATCAACCAAAACAAGATTTAGGGAAGACTGCAAACAGACCATAATTGTTCATATGCAAGTTCAGGCTGAAGCTAAAGAAATATTAAGACAACAAGTCCACAAAAGCCAAACTATGGTCTTGAATAAATTCTACCAGACTTTAGAGACTATCTTACGAACAGATTTGAGGAATTAGACACTAATGATAGAAGATCAGAAGAGTTGTGGGATGATATCAAGAATATCATACAAGAAGAAAGCAAAAAGTCATTAAAAGGAAAAGGCCAAAATGGATTTCAGAAGAGACTGAAACTTACTCTCCAGTTTAACAATGTTAAAGCAAATAAAGTAATTAGAAAGTAAAGAGGAGAACAGAAAAGTGGAAAGTCAACTCAACAAGACAAAGTATTATAATAAAATATGCAATGACCTGGAACTAGAAAACCAAAACATAAGACCATCCTCAAGAGTTCTGAAGCTGAAAGAATTGAAGAAAAAATTCATGCCATGACTTTAAATATTGAAGGATTCTATGGGCAAAATATTGTATGATGCAGAAAGCATCAAAAGAAGATGGAACGGAAAAGAAAAAAAAAGAAGAATGAATGCATGTAGTCAGTATGCCCATAAGAAATAGTCAATGTTCAGCCATTTCAGGAGGTAGCACGTGATCTCGAACTGATGGTGCTGAAGAAGAAAGAAGTCTAAGCTGCACCATCCAAGGGATTGCAGTAAACAAGTCTCCAGGAACTAACGAATACAAATTATAATCTTTCAACAAACTAATGAAGCACTGGAGATGGTCACTCTGAATGGAAGAGATCCGTATTTGTGCCCAATCCAAAAGAGGTGACCCAATGACATCATCAAAAAATACAATTTATATCGCTTGCAAGTAAAATTTTGCTGTGTTAAAAAACGACTACAACAGTACTATGACAGGGAACTGCAAGAAACTCAATCCAGCTTCAGAAAAGGCTGTGGAACATGGGGTATCATTACTGACCTCAGTTGGAATTTGCCTGAAAGCAAAGAATATCAAAAAGATGTTTACTGGTGCTTTATTGACAATGTAAAGGCTTTCAACTGTAGATAACATTGCAGAGAATGAGTATTCCAGAATACTTTATTGTGCTTGTGAGAAACCTATACGTAGACCAAGAGGCAGTCGTTTAAAGAGAACAATGGGACATTAAGTGGTTTAAAATCAGGAAAGATGTGTGCCAGGGTTGTATGATTGCACACACTTATACGAACTGTAGGCTGAGCAAATAAATTCAAGAAGCTGGACTACATGAAATATAGTCCAAATCTTTAAGAAGCTGTCAATATCCATTAATAATCAGAAGCTAGATGATATGAAGATTGTGGCATCAAGATTTAGAGGAACACTAACAGACTGCAATATGCAGATGATGCAACCTTGCTTGCTGAAAGCAAAGAGGACTTAAAATACTTACTGATGAAGATCAAAGACCATAATCTTCAGTATGAATTGCACCTCAATGTAAAGAAAACAAAAATCCTCACCACGGAATCAATGAATAACATCATGATAAAAGGAAATAAGGTTGAAGGTGTCAAAGACTTCATTTTGTTTGGCTTCTACTGTCAACACTCATGGAAACAGTCATCAAGAAATCAAACAACATATTGCATTAGACAAATCTGTTGCATAAGACGTCTTTAAAATGTTCAAGAGCAAAGACACCAGTTTGAGGACTAAGGTGTGCCTTACCCAAGGCATGGTATTTTCAGTAGCCTTATATGCATGTTAAAGTTGGGTAATGAATAAGCAAGACAACAGAAGTGATGCATTTGAATTAATAGTGTTGGAGAAGAATAATGAAAGTATCGTGAACTTCCAGAAGAACAAATCTGTGTTGGAAGAAGTACAGCCAGAATGCTCCTTAGAAACCAGAATGGCAAGATTACATCTCTCATGCTTCAGACATATTATCTGGAGGGACTAGTTCCTGGAGAAGAACATCATACTTGGTAAAGGGGAGGGTCAGTAAAACAGAGAAAGACCCCCAACAACATGGATTCACAGTGGCAGTAGCAGTAGGCACAGGCTTAACAAACAATTGTGAGGATAGTGCAGGACTGGGTAGTGTTTCATTTTGTTGTGCCTAAGTTCACTAAAACAGAGTAGGAAGAAGGAGAGGCTGACTACTTCTGAATGTTTAGTTACTGGAAACCTTGTGAAAAACAGTGGAACATTGTCAGATACCACCAGAATATTGAATATTGAAACATGAAGGGCACCAGAATATCATCATATATAATGCCAGAAGATGAGTCCCTTTTTTTGGAATGCACTCACAGTACGACTGGGAAAGAGCCCCCTCCTCAAAGTAAAGTTGGCTGTCATGACGTGAAAGTTTTTGGAACCTTCATTTGCTGATGGACACAACACAAAATGAGAGATGGCTGTTAATTTCCATTGATAATCAGAAGCTGGATTGTATGAAGAAAAACGTAGCATCAAGATTGAAGGAGGACTCATTAACACCTGTTATATGCAGATGATCCAACCTTGTTTGTAGAAAAAGTAAAGAGGACTTAAAATACCGACTGATGAAGATCAAAGCCTTTAGTATGAGTTGCACCTCTATGTAAATAAAACAAAAATTCTTAACAGTGGACCAATAAATAACATCATGATAAATGGAGAAAAGATTGAAACTGTTAAATACTTCATGTTGCTTGGATCCAGTGTCAACACCCTTGGAAGTAGCATTCAAGAAAACACATGAAGAAGCCGCAATGCCATGAGTCATGGAGGGAGAGGAGGGGATGTGTGCTGGCAGCCAGGGACAGGGTATGCCCTTTGACTTTTGAATGATTGTAGATTCCTGAGTATTTTGGTGCACATCCAAAAAAAAAAGGAATAGAAGAAAATACTGTTGAATGACGAAGCATGCAAGGGATTGTAATCATTGCAGTGAAACAAACTGATGTTCCCCCATGTAAACTATCACTCAATTCACACACACACAAAAAATCAAATAACTCTGTATTAGGCAAATGGGCTCAAGTGTAGTAAAGATTGTGAGAATGGTGCAGGACCAGGTGGTGTTTTGTTTTGTTGTGCATAGGGTCACTATAGATCTATAGATCGGAGTTGACTCAATGGCACTTAATAACAACAGCCAGCTAACTGTGGGTCAGAACTGACTGGACAGCACCTGACAACAACCCTGTTAATTGTTATTAGTTCTGACTGAGTGATTCTGTGTAAAACAGTGAAACACTGGCCATGCGTCATGCTCCCACATGTTGCTGTGTGAGCCTATTGTTGTATCCACTGTATCAGTCCATCATGTTGAAAGGCTTCCTCTTTTTCATTAACCCTCTACTATTCCAAGCATTATTATGTGTATCTCCAAGGAGTGGTCCCTTCTGCTACCATGGCAAACGATGTGAGAAGCATTCTAGCTGTACTTCCTCCAAGATAGATATGTTCCTTCTCCTGGCAGTCCAACGTATATTCAGAGTTCTTCACTGACACTCTAATTCAAAGGCATCAATTCTTCTTTTATCTTCCTTATTCATTTCCCAGCGTTCACATGTATATGAGGCAATTGAAAGTAATATGACTTGGATCAGGTGTGTCTAAGTCTTCAAGGTGATATATCTTTGGTTTTTAACACTTTTAAGAGGTCTTTTGCAGCAGATTGTTACAATGCAGTATGTCATTTGTTTTTCTGACTGCTGCTTCCATGGGCACTGATTGTGGATTCCAGTAAAATGAAATCTTTGACAACTTCAGTATTTTCTCTCTATCACCTGTTCTTCCCAAATTCATTCTTCTATCTATATTGTTAGTACTGATCTTCAATTAAAAAGGAATTTACTGTTTTAGGAACCAGTGACTTTCCAAGATGTGGTTGTGGAATTCAGTGAGGAAGAGTGGGGAAAACTGGACCCTGATGTAAAAAACCTGTACAAGGATGTAATTCTGGAGAACTACAGAAACCTGAATGCATTGCAAAAAGGTGGCTTCAACATATTTGCCTAATTTACTCCTTACTAGTGTCTTTACCTATTGTTAACAACTGTAGGCTTGTGAAAGTGGTTAAATGTATTTGGATTTAGGTTAAATTTCCTAATTTTCTTTGAGCATAAAAGCAAATTTTCCTGGAAAAAGGTTCATCTGGTAAAAGGTTCTTATATAAAGCCAGAAGTACAGAAGTCCATGTTGTTTTTGTAGCTTTATCTTTCAGCAGCTCTTAGGTAACTGAGTTGGGATGGAATTTTTTTTCCATATGACATTTTCTTTTTTTTTTCTATATGAACAGGACATCTACTTTCCAAACCAGTTGAGGTTTCCAAGTTGGAGAGTAAGAAAAACCCACAGATAACAGGGGGAGAAATCCCAAGGAGGACTGTTTTGGGTAAGACTCAGGCACCATAAGAAATATCTCTTTTTGGAACACACAGCAGTATGTAACCTAGCCAGTTAGTTGAGTTGTCACTTGTGGAGATGGCAACAAAACCACCTAAACTCTGAAGAAGAAAAGTCATCAGCACCCTTTATACAGATGTTCTTTTTCTTATGTGGACAGACAATAGTGACATGGTTTGAAGCACAGACACTTAATGTTGTATGACCTGGGGAAACTTCTCTACTAGTGTCCTCATCTGTAACATGGAAGTAATCACCTGGTTATTAATTTTGCCTCACCTGGATATGTATATCTCACGTAAAATAGTGTTTGGCACATGGTAAGTGCTATCTAACCAAACATTACACAGCCTAGCATTGACTTATATTTTTCCTTTTAAAGGAAACAAAAACTCTGTACTAGAATGACTTACAGTAATCTTCCAGGTTTTTTTTTTTTGTTCTCTTACAATAGACTTCATTAACTTGTGCCATACCTCTGCCCCAAATGTCTTTATTCTTAATATTTTATTTGTGAGATTATAAAATTGTTTACTTAATATAAACTTTCAGGAGAAAGATGAGGTTTTGCTTCCATAAAAATTCAGAACCTCAGAAATTCTATGCAGGGTCATTATGAACCACAATTGACTTGGCTGTACTTAATAGGAGCAGTATGAATTTTAATATATATCTTAGTTATCTAGTGCTGCTATAATGGAAATACCACAAGTGTATGGCTCTAACAAACAAGTCATTCTCAAAAGTTTAGGAGACTAGTAGTTTAAATTCAGAGTGCCAGCTCTAGGAGCAGGCCTTTGTCTGCTTTCAACGTCTTTGTGCCTGGCATTCCTTGGAGATTTCAGTGTGACTTGACATTCATCTTCCCCTGGGTCTAAGAGGTTTTCAACACATAGATACTGAATCCAAAGGATGCATTCCACTCTTCTTTCTTCCTAGTAGTGAGGTCCCTCTCCCTTCTGCTCCCTTCACTCTTCTTTTATTTCTTGTAAGATAAAAATGTAACTCAAGGGTGTGTCTTCAGTAAGCTTGGTGCCTTAAGTAAAGTCATTTCCTCTTATAAAGTTGTGACTCTTATAAGGTTGTGACTCAAAATACATCCCATACTAATCCTGCCTCATTAACATGTATTGTTAGGTGTTACTCTGTTGGTTTTGACTCATAAAAACCCAATGCACAACTAAACAAAACACAGCCCAGTAGTGCACCATCCTCACAGGTTGTTGTGCTTGAACCCACTGTTGCAACCACTCAGGCATTCCATCTTGTTAGGGGTCTTTCTCTTTTTTGCTGGCCCTCTACTTTACCAAGGAGCTCTGGTAGTGTAGTGGTTACGAATCGGGCTGCGAACCTTAAGGTCAGTGGTTTGAAACTACCAGCCGCTCCGTGGGAGAAAGATGAGGCTTTCTACTCCCATAAGGATTTACACCCTCGGAAACCCTGTACAGGGTCGCTATGGGTCGACTCCGACTCGAAGGCACTTAACAACAACAACAACTACTTTACCAAGCATGACATCCTTTTCAAGGGACTGATCCCTCCTAGTAACCTGTCTAAAGTACATGAGAGGAAGTTTAACCATACTTGATTATAAGAGGCATTCTGGCTGTACTTCTTTCAAGACCAATTTCTTTGTTCTTGGGACAGTCCCTGGTACTTTAAATATTCTTCAACATCTGAATTACATCATTTCTTCTATGGTCTTGTTAATTTTTCAGCTTTCACTTGCATGTGAGGCAATTGAAAATACCATGGCTTCAGTCAGGCACACCTTAGTTCTCAAACTGATATCTCTGCTCTTTAACACTTTAAAGAGGTCTTTTGCAGCAGATTTGCCCAGTGCAGTACATTGTTTGATTTCTTGATTGTTTCTTCCATGAGGTTGATGGTGGATCCAAGTGAAATCAAATACTTGACAATTTTAATTTCCGCTTATCATGATATTGGCTATTGACCCAATTGTGAGGATTTTATTTTCTTTGCATTAAGTTGTAATCCATACTGAAGACTATATTCTTTGATCTTCATTAGTAAGTGCTTCAAATCATCTTCACTCTCAGCAGGCAAGATGTGTTATTTGAATATCCTTCAATCCTGATATTGCATTCATACTGCATTCTTCTTCATATAGTGCAGTTGCTTCGAACTTTTGCTTTGAGTGCAGATTGAGTAAATATGCTGAGAGGATACAACCCAGATGCTCACCTTTCCTGATTTTGAACCATGCAATATCACTTTATTTGGCTTCAACAGTGGCCTCTTGGTCTAATGTACACGTTCTATGATGTTGTTAGGTGCCATCAAGTCGGTACTGACTCATATCGACCTTATGCACAGTGGAACGAAACACTGCCCGATCCTGGGCCAACCTCACTACTGTTGCCACGCTTGAGTCCATTGATACTACTAACTTGGCCAATCTAT